AACACTTATTTACAAACTAGTATAACATAAAGGACCTTTAATGGTTAATTCTATAATTCCTTAGTTTATACATCAGAGTTATATATAAATAATATCCGATAGGCAGTGGAATGTGTGACTTCCTCCTTACTTCCTATTCCTTATTTGGTTGTGGGCTTAGGGTAGATTCACCCATTCAATTGTCTGTTCGATATTAGGTTATATATAGTTAGTATAAACTAAATAATTATAGAAGGGACTATTATGGTTACCATTTTACCAAGAAAATATAGAATTTTATGAAGGAAACACATTCATTATATCTAAAAGAATCATTAATGTTAATTCTGTGATTACTTGGTGAATAAACTAGAGTTATATGTAATGAAGATCCGACAAACAGTGGAATGTGTGACTTCCGCCTCATTTCTTGTTCCTTGTTTGGTTCTGGGCTTAGGGCAGATCCACACATTCAACTGTCTATTCGATCTGTATTATATATAATTTGTATTTACTAAATAATCTCGGAAGTAACGAGTACGGTCATATTACTCATTAAGAAAATATAGGATTTTCTGGAGGAACAAGCGAACTTTTCCAAAGAACAAAGTGTATACTTTTATAACAAAAATACTTATGAACTCATCAACTTTAATGTTGGCACTTTTTCAAACCACTTGTATTCTCAGGATCGTTATTAGACAGGTACTCTCTCAGGTGTTGCGAAGACGGAGCATAGTAGTTTTACGTCTTATCTTTTGTTATAGTTTTAATGTAAATTATGAAATGTTTTGAACATAATGTAAACTTTATATTATTAATACAATGGTTGTTGTTGCTTTGATTACTATTATACAGTTGTTGTGATACTGTACATGACGTCCTCCGCCCCTGAACGTTTCCGCCGTTCCGGTTTGGGGGTGTGACAACATACCCCCGTAGTGGTAGAAAGGAGGCGAATAAACCGGTTGATCGAGTGAAGCTCTTGGAGTTGTGGTTTTTCTGGTAGGTGTTTTTTGGTTGGTTGGATTTTTGGAGGATGACATTTTTGTGGGTTTTAACATAGAGAAGATGGTAAAAAAATAAAATGTTTGTGAGTGTTTTTGGTTAATTTGATAAGGTATTTATAGTGTTAGTAATTTTTTTTGAGAAATGACCGTTTGCATACGGTAACCACGACGACCAATCAAAAGCAAGGAAGAAACGCTCCCCTGGAAGGCCGCACCTGGACCACACCCAGGGGCGGCGTTTATGCTTATGTGGCTAATGGAGTGCGGCCTGGACCGCGCCCATTCCGCCTGGCCTTAGCAACTGCACCCTTTTCTGCAGTTCATTGTTTTCAAATCGTACGAGACAATGCAGCCAACACTCAGACCTGCTGCTCACTTTTTTATTGTTGCATGGAGTTTTACGAAATCCAAATTTTGAGAAATTCATGAAATAACCAAATATTCAGGGGTGTTTTAAGTATTTAGCCACAAAATTTCTAGTTTTGTAAAATGACCCTCAGATCCGCAGAGGGGGCTCTGCGGATCGCTTAATGTCTCTGAGGAACTTAGCACACCTCTGCGGAAATGAGGTGGCAACACTAAAAGACAATTTTTTTAGGGTTTTTAAGGTTCCGCAGAGGTGTCTCTGCGGATCTTGTGAACACCTCTGCGGATCGCTTAATGTCTCTAAGGAATGGGTATGAACAATTTTTTAATAGAATTTTTTTTGGGGTTTTTAAGTATTTACCCATTCCTCAGAGACATTAAGCAATCCGCAGAGGTGTTCACAAGATCCGTAGAGACCTCTCTGCGGAACCTTAACCCCCCCCCCCCCCCCCAAATTGTCTTTTTGTGCTCCCACCTCATTTCCATAGAGGTGTGCTAAGTTCCTCAGAGACATTCAGCGATCCGTAGTGCCGCCTCTACGGATCTGGTGGTCATTTTACAAAACTCGAAAGTTTGTGGCTAAATACTTAAAACACCCCTTAAGATTTGGTTATTTCATGAAATTTCTTCCAAGTTTTCTCCCCATGATTTCGAGTATCTATAGAAAACTGAAGATTAGCCAGCAACCTATATAAAGCAATCCAGATAATGTATGAATCAACATTTTGCTTCGGTTCTGTTCGATGACTTGATGTTGTATGAGATAATCAAAACCGGCGACAAGTTCATACGCGCTGCAACGACAAGAATGGTTGCTTCGAAGTCTTGAAGCATTGGACCTAGTACATTGAGGGTAAAAGCACCCAGTAGAAGAGGAAGAAGCATTCTGAATTTCGTGCATAGTGAAATAAGGTGTAGTACGATAGAAAGCGTGTCTTGGAGTGCAGAACTAAGAACGGAGCAGAGAGAGTTTTTGTAGAAACCACTAGAGAAAGCACAACATCATGAAATTTCTACCTACTAGATCTTTTGTTTCCTTTGTAGATGTTATGCTAATACCATGATACCAAGCAAGCAATTGAAAAAATTACCGCTGTTGCTGTTGTAACCCATGTTTCTTCCATTTTTCCTTATACACATATAACGATAAGACCATTCAATCTTTGCATCCCTTATGAAAAGTGAAGGCCAACAGCTTCAGCCTGTACTCGACACCTACTGGATAATAATGTCCTTTGGTTGGGTACCTGATGCATCAAGTGGGGAGAGAGATAGAACCATTTTTTCTTCTTCACCCATTCTTGGTAATCACTAAACATAGGGTTGACTTTGTACCCTTTGTGACAATCTTTACCAAAGGAGTAGCAGCTTTAATGTACCATTTGACAAGAAAAAAATTCAGCCACTACAGCTACATGTATGAACCTGCAACACTATCCTTCCCTTTATCTTTTCTCTTGAGCCAAGCAAACGAGTATAGCCCTGACAACTTGGATGACACAAATTAGAATACCCACGATATTCTAAAAAGAACCATCTCTTTATTTTGTAGTCAACATGAGAACATCCAAATGTGCAATCCTTTTTTTATTACAAAAAAACTTAAAAAAATAACTTAAAAGACAAAATAAATTTAACAAAAGAGAATTTATCTTAAGAGAAAATTAATTAACATCACACCTTTATTTAGTGAGAGAGACAAATAATATGGACTTTTAAAATTTCAGACTCTCTCACATCCTCAAAAATTAACAAACAACTTTAGGAACCCATTTGAGAATGAGTTTTATAGCATACCTCACTTCTTTGAAATGCATATGATAGAATAGAGAACAACCAGATTGAGGCTTCAGAACACTTCTCTTATTTCCAGGAAACTTTCGAACCCAATGCACCTTTAGGACTTCTGTGCTTGGCTTTGTTTCAGATTGAGCAAACTTATTCTTGGGAGCCCAAAATTGCTTCATCTTCCATGGATCTGAATATGACTTCTTTGGAACCGACACCTTCTGTGACTTAGTTTGATTTGACTTCCTTTTCTTTGTGAATGATGCCTTGTAAGAAGAGTTATTGAACCAAGAACATACATTAGAAAACTTACTAGCAAGAGATCTTTTGATGTCTGAAGATGAAGCTGGAGCATGAGTCTTGACAGAGTGAGATGAAGTCCTCACAGCTTGAGATAGCTTGTCAGTGTCAAAAGTCTTGTCAGTTTGAACAAACTTATTAGTGTGAACCGATTTGTCAGTGTGTGAGGTCTTAACATTGCGAGACTTCTTGGTATTGCGAACTTTTTCAGCTTAAAGTTTGTCAACGTGACCTGAAGTCATCCCAGTATGAGATGCTGATGGAGTATAATCACCTGTTGATTTCTCAGTGTGAGACATGTCAGTGCAAGGACTGTTGTGATGTTCATCTGGATGAAAACAAGACTTTTTCGATGATGAAAATTCTTCAGGTACTTCTTTTATTTGAACACTAAAATATGAAGAAATTTTCATCTGAACATCCTTTTCTTTGATCTTCTCCTTTAGATTAGATATCTCTTTCTCCTTTTCTATAAGATTCTTCTTCGACACTTTTATATCTTTTTTTTTATTCTGATTGATGATTTTTTCTTTCAGATCAAGCTCAGCAGTGAAGAACATAGATAGAGGAGCCTTTGGATCATACATCAGATCTGGAAATCGTGAAGACAAGCGATTGGTGGAGACTTAACGGAAATCGTGAAGACACTACGATCAATGTTCGAAATCGAATGGAAAGACGGGAGAACCCGGAAGGAAGCAAATACACAACAAATCAAAAAGGAGGAAATCTTCGCAATTGTCAGACCCGAGAACAGAGCCAGGCGTCGACCGCCATCCAATGGCGTTGAAGGCTTACCCGGCGATACTCTAATCATAAGTTTCTCATCGGAAGACCCACGAGCGCCAAAATGGTACCCCACAGATCCAATCATAATCCCCGCACTCGTACAACAACATCAGATGTGGCTAGTCCTGGTCGACGGAGGTAGCAACACTGATGTCCTCTACGAGCATTGTTTCGAACGGCTCCTACCATCCTGGAAGAGAAGCCTAAGAGCCCCAACCTGAGCTCCACTCGTTGGATTCACAGGACACAAGCTATGGCTATTCGGGACCATAAATCTCCCGTTGATACTACTTAGCCACGATGGAAAGGAAAGGGTAACAAGGATAATCGAGTTCTCGGTAGTTAAACACAAGTCAGAAGACGATATGATCCTAGGGCGACCTGTTCTATTTCGGCTACACACCATCCCATTAACAATACATGGTACAGTGAAGTTCAGAACAACCAGCGGCTCAGCAAAAGTAACAGCCCTAAACACATAGGCAAAATCACTTCGGGCGATCGCCGCCTGGGCTACTGCGCACATCCCAAGAAAGCGGTGCACAATAATAACTAACACTCATACGGTCAAGCACAAAAAAAACAAATATCCACACCCAATAATAGAGAAAAGGACACTAACATCAAACGAACAGCCCCAGGGGGGGGAGGTGTGATAACAACAACATCACCGTTTCAGAAAAATCAAGGATCGTCAGCACAAACACCAAGCGAGGTTGGACATCACTGAGAATACCTACACACCTTTGTGCAGCAAGGGCACAGAGCATGGAAAAGAAGGAAACGAAGAAATGCACGCGCGAACTCACGGAGCTCGACCGGAAATACAAACAAGCAACCGCCAGCGCCAGAGCAGAGAGGATATATATTTGCCCCAAAAAAGAGGACGTGGACATGAGACTCACTACAACCATAAGAGTCCGCAACTGGCAGAGGCTTCCCCCAGGACGACACCTAGTCAATAACCTCGCAAAAAGCAGAGCTTGCAATGAAAGAGTCACGCATAAGAAGGTAAAACCGCCCAAAGGTGATAATCAGGCAACCAAAGCCGAAGAATGGAGGAAATTGAAAATCGTCTTCCGAAAGACGACCATCCCAGAAGTATCCAATCACAGATCGTACACGAGCACGAACGCTGAAAAGCTTGCAGGAACGAGCCGCCGAAGGACACAAACCAATAAAGACCAAGAAGAAGAACTCGTCCCAATGACTTGGGAGCCCCAGAGCCCAAGCCAATAGTCTTAACTTGAGGGGAATCAAGGGAAAGGGCCAAGTGATCAAACTCCTAACGGATAATCATGCCCCAACTAGTTAATCTAAGAGCTAGACCTAGATTAGCAAAAACTATTGAACTCCCGATACTTATCTAACAATGTAGATGTCTCCAAGACACCAAAAAATATGCAATAAAAAGAAAATTTGTAGCGAACAAGTGTCGACATACTTTCGTACAAATGGAAAAATAAAAACGGACTGATCACCTGTGCCACCCAACACAAGACCAGTGAGAAAAACACAATCATAGGCCTCAAAGGCTCATCACTTCTCCCTAACAAAAATGTCAACAAGGTCAGGAGAGCTTGAGTTCCAGGTCACGACAAGTAAGAGGCCTTAAAGGATCATAACCTTTCCCTCGAAATGCATAATACTTGAGCTCTTAGACCCCCGAGGTGACGATCTCGGTCTTGCTTAGATGACTAGGGCCGGAGTACAACTCTCATTGACCTGGTCTTAGAGCAAAGCCCCAAAGAGAAGGCTTTTAGCTAGGAAAGAAACCTTAACTGAACGAACCAACTAGAGTTCGTACCTACAGGCTAGCTAAAGCCTCGACTCACAAAGACTAACCTGAGGGCGAGCGTCGAGCCTGTCAAAACAGATGCTTCGGGCCCCTAAAACTTGTTAAGCAAACGATAAGAATGACCAAGACCCCTAAAGGCCAATACTAACCTCTGGGGAGAATCCAAACTAAGGTTGGCCAACACAAACCATCAAAGACGACAAAACAAAAAAAAAAGGGGGGTTGGAAGAAACACAATGAACTAAAAAACCAAACTTAGAACACAAGAAACAAAAAGAACAACTTATCTAACCCGGACAACCCCCTTGGGATTTGAAAAAGACCACGTAGGGCCATGGAAGAAAATTAGACATTGTTTCAAACATTGTTCAACAAACACCATGCAAATGCAAATATCATCTTAAACATGAAAAAACGAAAAAAGGGAAAAATCCATCACTTACTGAGGGGTGGAGGAAGGACCAGTGTGAGAAGGGCCACCTTCAGGCTGATCTTCTTCGGTGTCAGGATCATCGTACATCCGGCGAAGGCCTCCTATGTCCAACTCACCCAGGAAAAGGTAGGAGGCAAACTCTGTCTCCATGAAAGATTTTACAGCAGCATGCATCGCCTGAGTATGCTCCACGGTAGCGTCCCGTTCTCCGGAGACAAACTTTACGGCGACAACCTGCTCTCGAATCACCTGTTTGCCTTTCTCCACACCGGCAGCCACACACGCCATCTTCATCCGCTTAACCCCCAACAAAAACTCAGCACTCTCGACAACCTTATCCACCACCCGAACAATTCCCTTCTGAAGCAACCACCCCAAATCCTCCTCTGCAACCTTTCTCCTTGAAATCTCCTCATCCAACTGCTTATTGACACAATCTGTAACCATCCAAAAATCCAAGGTAAAAAGTTCATTTTTAATATAGTAAAAACACTTTACTAACTTTCTTCCAGACATTGAAAAACATTTCAATTAAACAATTATCATAGTCTAATCCTATAGATCACATTTTGCAGAAATCACGGGTGTATGCGATGCGATCGTCCCGATCCCCTTTCATTTGAAAAGTGCAGTTCCTGAAACCAAAAATAAAAACCGTAAGCACAAAGTTTAGTGAGTTCCCTAAATACCACATACCATACATAACAAACATACCGCCAAGCATATCTGGGTGTTGGCCTACCCCCCTTCGGTCTATCTCGACCGGATACTGCCAAGCATATTTGGGTGTTGGCCTATCCCCTTCAGTCTATCTCGACCGGATACTGTCAAGCATATCTAGGTGCTGGCCTACCCCTTCGGTCTATTCAAACATGTATGGGGACTATTTCACCCCTACCACTACCAAATAATATCATACATAACATATTGTCAGACATATCTGGGTGCCCGACCTACCCCTTCGGTCTATTTCAACCGGTTACGGGGACCATTTCACCCCTACCACTACCACATAATATCATACAGGAAGCATCAAGCAATACATGTACAACCGACAATTATCACACATACAATCATCATACTATAACATACAAGCCCATTGGGCCCACTAAAGCCCAAAACCATTGGGCCCACCAAGGACCAATACAAAATCTTGGACCAACTAGACATACCCAAACAAGAGTCTGAGACTCTTAATTTCCTCTGACCAGAAAGCCCAACACACCAAACCCAAACCCATGCCCGAAGCCCAAGCATGAAACAAACCTATAAGCCCACTGATGCGCGTACGCGGGGCGTACCCCATAGGTCGAAGTTTATCCATTCCTTTTACCTTCGGGATAAAAGCGATATCTGTGGGCCCCTCGATGATTTAGCGATGACACATGTGAGTGCTTGGCCAAGCCAGGACTGATTTGATTTGTTCAATCAGTCAGTCATCATAAATCGAAAATCGGGAAACAACAAATGAACAGAGATAATGATTATAATCCATGTCTCAGTCCATATGATATCTAGAATGGAGGAATATATGATCCCTTATCTAATGCACAAGTCATTGACAAGGTCAGAGTTCGACAGCGGCTTTAAGAGCTACGATTGCCAGTTTGGTTTTGAAGTCATACTCAATAATAGTTTTAGACTTATCCAAGTGGGAGACTGTTGGATTAATGTCTAAGTCCATAACTATATTTGGTATGTACTTGACCCAACCCGGCATGGTCTATTTGGGTTGCACTTCACCGGCACAATTTATATGGATAGTCTTTTGAGAATAGTATATTTATGATTTATATTAATATATTATAAGTTCTAATATATTAATATGGAATCATATTATTTAATTAGTATTGATCAAGAATTAATTTAGAATTAATTAAGTGATCAAAAAGAACTAATTAAATATGGACTCTTATATATATGGAATGGGCCAAGTTCATTTAGGTTGGGCTAAGCTTTCATGGATGGTCCATGGAGCTTTTAACCCATGGATCCTATGTAAATGAAAGGTCATGGGTATTAGGGTTTACATGGATGTAACCCTAATCCTCCATAATATATAAAGGGGTCCTTGGCTCACAAAATTGGCACAAGTGTGTGAAAATAAGAGTGGGCCGATTTTAGTGTGCATACATATTCTCTCAAGTTCTTCCAAGGTGTTTTGGTGATTTGTGATTCCATTTGAGGCTTCCACACTATTGGGGCTAAGCTCTTAAAGCTTGAAGACATCAAGCTACATCAAAAGGTATGTCATCTAACTAGAACTTTGTAGTATAGGTGCTTCATAATATGCTAGTTAGGATGAAACCTTGGAATAGTTAATATTTGCATGTATAATAGAGAAAACATAGATCCAAGGTTTATAGGGTTGCATGTACACCATAGGAGTGTTAGAATGCTCAAAACCCAACAGTGGTATCAGAGCCATGGGTTGTTTTCTGTTATATTGATGCAAATGTTTTATTTTCAAGTTGAAAAAAAGGAAAAAAAACATGACGTTTGTCAAATTTTAAGATAATTACTTGTTTTGTGAAAAACGAATTATTTGTAAAATTTGAATCATTTGTTATATGAGTTGAATTAGGTCAAATTTAGTAAAAGATAAAATGATATGATTATTTTATTAGTTTTAAAAGTTTGATCTAAATGTTTTAAGGAGTTACATATTTTGTCATAAAATTTTGGAGCTCAAAAGTTTTTTTAAAGTTGTGATCTTAAGGGTTTTTGAAACTTCCATAAGTTATGGATATGAAAGTTTTTTTAAAAAAAAAAATTTGATTCAAAGTTTTTATGGAGTTACAAAATTTGGTGTTAATGTTTTAAAGAATTCCATAACTTGTTCTTAAGTTATGGAACATGGAAAGTTTCATCATAAAACACCATTAATTCCATAAGTTATGGAATCCAAAGGTTTTCAAGAATTACAAAACTTGCCCTCAAGTTTTGGAATTTGAGAAAAGTTTTTTATGAAAAAAAGAATTGAATTCTAAAACTCTTGGGTTCATAACTTAAACAATTAATTAAATGGTTTTAATTTTGAGTTTAATAATTGGAATTATGATGTTTTGTTGAATAGTTCAAATTAACTCTTATGGACTTTATTAATAGTTAATTAAAGCGTTTAATTAAAAGAGTATTATTAATCCATAAATATATGGTTTGAGTTTAATTAAATTAAAAGTCTAGTTTAATTAATAGATTAAACCACCAAGTATTTTAAATGTCTAAAATACACCCTTATACTATTATAATATTAAAAGTTTAATATATTATATGTATAAGAGCAAGTCGTCTTACCATTAGTAGGCCTCATTCACGAAGCCGGTCTATAAGGGGGGTATAAGGTTACTGCCTATAAAATGGCAGTTTAATGGGTGTCCACTCTCACTCACCGCTTCCTTGACCGGTGGAGGGTCGTTAGCCGAACAGGTAGGACAAGGACTATAATTCTCCCTTCATTATAAGTATAATGATAAATACTAAGTAACTAAACACTTATAAATTCCCAATCTTAGTTACTTAGGAAAATGTGAATAAGGTGCTAATCCATGAAATTACACTTTGCACTTTGTTTAAGCTGTTAGTGGAGCGTGTGTGGTTAACCGGCACACTAACCTGGACTTAACAAGGTAGGCAAAGGGTAACTTAATGTTTATCATAGTATCGTTGGAGCGTGTGTGGTTAACCGGCACATCGATTGAGGGGTAAATATTAAGGGTACCAAGTATATTTGCATGGTTACTTCACACCTTGTTTTGTGATCCTCGGCATCCCAGTCACAAAACCTGAAGGGCACACTCGAGATTGAAACATGCCATTGAAAAGTTCAATGAATCTCAAAAGAATCTAGGAGTTTCAAAACCAATTAAAACCTAATAATACATTTCGTTTATCTTGGTGGAAATTGGTGAATCGTCATTCACCTACCTTCAAATATTTTATAGCTTGGATTACGGCATCCCTCTTCCAAGTTATAAAATAGTTTGTTGGGTCCTAGCCTTAATATAT